TCTGTGGGCACGATTTTTGATGTTATCAGTTCATGAAATTTTGAGCTGAAAAGAGTCTTAGAGCTAGGAATCTTTGAGCTAGAATCAGCTAGTTCAGTGATTATACAGTCATGGTCTAGAAAAATTATAAAGAGAGTCTGTGCAACAAACTAAATTTTTGAATGTCAGTTGGGTGAGTTCTAACTATGTGGATTGAACGTGTTTTTATATCAAATACCTCCATAAGTCTTGTGAAAATTACAAGAAAGAAATTTAAAAGAACAGAGAATGTAAGAGAAGACATTCCTTGGCTTTGCAGATTTTTTTTGAAGATGAGAGCAAAGACAGCGGTAACTGAATGATTTGAATGGAGGGAGCTAACAATAGCTAATGATTTTTGAGCATTTATTATGTGTTAAGTATCATCATAAAAGTTCCACATAGTTTAATTCAGCAAACTCTCACAACAACGCTATGAAGTTAAGTAGTATTACTATCTCCATTTAATAGGGGATGCTTCTGATGTGATAGGTTGGTTAGAGAGCTGTTAAGTGACAGAAACCGATGTGTCAACCCGGAGGATCTCACTCCCGCAGCTGTGAGAGGGGAATGCCAGTGATGAGCAGGGCAAACTGCCCCACGCAGCGCCCTCAGAAGCTCGGGGGGAGAAGGAGTGAGCCGGAGGCCTGAGTGACAGTGGAAGACCATCGAGAAGATCCTTTGGCCACAGCTCCCCTCTGTCACATCAAACGAAAGGCGATGCTAAACATCCAAGTGGATCAGAAGATTGGAGGAGGCTTTGTGGCAGAAAATGAGTTTCCTTGAAAAAATATTCACAATACCTGACCTTATGGGTTTCCATAAAGAAAGCCAGAGAGCCAACAAATCCCCACACGGTGATGCCTGTCTATGTTACCCACGTAAGCGAAGTGCTTAAAATCAGATTTTACTGCCCCTTTCTTGATGTCTGTTTCTATTGACTGCTTTATCTCTTACCAATAGGTTGCCTTTCCCTTGCTTTTTCTGTCTCATTTTTCACTGACCGCCAGTGTGTGCAGAAGACCAATGGAGACTGTTGAAAATTTCACCTGAATACCCGTATTTCAAAAAAGAACCTTGACTTCTACCTCACCCCATACACAAAATTAATTAAATATGGATCACAGACCCAAATAAAAGACGATTAAGCTTTTAGAAGAAATCACAGGAAGATATCCTCAGGACCTTAAAGTAGCAGAGCTTTCTTAAAGGGCACAAAACGCTCTGTCATAAAAGGGCAAATTGATATACTGGATTTCATTAAAATTAACAAACTTGGTTCACAAAACACAACATTAAGAAACTAAAAGATAGATATACAAACAGAAAAGGCAAAGTAAATCTGTACTACAGATATATGACAAAATACTTATGAGAATATGCAAAGCATTCCTTCAAATAAACAAGAGACAAGACAACCCAACTCGTAAAAATTAACTGAAATACTTGAAAACAAGCAACGCAAAAGAGTATATCCACATGTCCAATCACGTCTGAGTCTTTGTGACCCCACGGACTGTAGCCCACCAGGCTCTGCTGTCCCTGAAATTCTCAGGCAAGAATACTGGAGTTGGTTGCCATTCCCTTCCCCAGCGGATGTTCCCAATCCAGGGATCGAACCTGGGTCTCCTGCAGGCAGATTCTTTGCTGTCTGAGCCGCCAGCAAAGCCCAAATGTCCAATAAACATAGGAAAAAAAAAACTCAACATCACTAGACATCAGGGATATATAATTTAAAATGACAATGGGATATCACTGGTAAACTTCCAGAATGGCTAAAATTAAGAAGAGTGACTATATTAAATTTGGGTGAGACTTATGAGCAATTTAAACTCATATATTGTTAGTTGATGTGAGTATAAATTGATGTAACCACTTGGGAGAACTGCTTGGCAGTATCTACTAAGTCTAAATACATAACTATTGTACAAGTCAGCAATTCTAGCCCTAGATGTATGCTCAAGAGAAATGAGTTTATATGTATACCAAAACATATGTAAAAATTATTAACAGTAACTTTATATATAATAGCTTCAAATTGGAAATAATCAAGATATCCATCAGTGGGAAAATGGATAAAGAAAGTGTAGTAAATTTACATGGTGGAATAGCAAACATTTATTTTTTTAAGTTTTAAAATAGAATGAACTACTACTGTATGCAACAACATGGATACATCTGCCAGGCAATGTTTTAGCAAAAGGCAGGTGTAAAAACATATATACTACGTAATTCAATTTATATGAAGCTTAAGCACAGGCCACACATACAGCCACGGTATTAAAGTCAGAACAGTGATCACCTCTCTGGGGGTCTTCTCTGCAATGCTTATGATGTTATCTTGACCATCTGTTGGTTACTTGAGTTCATACATGTGTAAAAATTCATCATGTATATTTACTATCAGTGCACTTTACTGAATATGAACTATTCTAAAGGAACAGTTTTAAAAGGCTAAAAACAAGGTCAGCTAGGATCATGACATATGTGAAGAAACCTTTAAAATGGAACCTTGTGCTTCCCTTGTAGCTCAGCTGGTCAAGAATCTGCCTATAATGTGGGAGACCTGGATTCAACCCCTGGGTTGGGAAGATCCCTTGGAGAAGGGAATCTCCACTCCAGTATTCTGGCCTGGAGAATTCCATGGACTGTATAGTCCATGGGGTCACAAAGAGTCGGACACGACTGAGAGACTTTCAAAAAAAAAGAAACAAAGCTATCATTTTTTCCAGAAAGTCAAAGGGATTTACACACATTCATGAAATAGAAAGCAGGAGTTAAAACCATAAAACAAAAAAAAGAAAAAAAGAAATAGGTTTCTTTGGTGGGGTGGAAGATAAAATGTAAAAATTCCATAGAAAATAAAGTGGAAGAAATTATCAAGAAAGCAGAATAAAATGTTGGGAGATAGTTAATAGAAGTTACCAGGTTTTTAAACAGTTTAGTGACTGCAGGCAAAAATGCTCATCTCAGGACGTGCTGGTGCCGCCCCTCATGATTTCAGTCTGACCTTGGGACCGCCTGGAAACATTTTCCTGCAACAAGCTGCCCGGTGACTTCAACGGAGTGTTTTTGATTTTTTGTGAAATTATATTAACTCGGCGTGATCACAACTTATTTCCTCAGCTGTGATTGGCAAATACAACGTTTCGAAGACAATTGAGGAAGCACATTCATTAATCTTTACTTCAGTCTGTTTGGAAGAGGAAACATTTCAAAACAATAGGTCTATATGAGAGGGGGAAAATAACAAACATGGTCCCAACAGCAACAAAATAATAAGAAAGGTGGGAATAGTTGAACACTGACCTTTTGCTGTATCCCAGTTATCAGTCAACGCTGTGTATTTATCCATGTTAGAGTAGTGTATGTTATCATTTCAAAATCACTTCTGCTTTTCTCTTCTCTTAAATAATGTGCGTTCTAGAAAATTTGGATAATACAGTGAAGACACAGAAAAATCAACGAGGACCCTTCCTCATAGAGATAATCATTATTGATTGAGACTTAGTTTAAAATCCTTGTCTTTCTCCTCTCTTACTATACATATATATATAAATAAATATATTGATATATATCTATATATATATCAATATTGATATATCTATATATAAAGATAAAGCTTTGCCATACAAACGAGATAAAATCAAGCTTTATCATACAAACAAGACTGGACTATTTGTAAACGAAATATATAATACATTTTTGGCGACAAAATCAAGGGGGATAAAATCAAGCTTTATCATGCAAACAAGACTGGATTATTTGTCAGCGAAATAATACATTTTGGCGCCACCCCAGCACACCGAGCCCATAGCTCCAGCGGCGGGGCAAGCGAGGGCCCGCGGGCACCCGGTGACTCTGTGCCTCGAAGAGGGAAAATAAACACGCGCCAAGAAGCCCGGAGGCAAAAACGCCGTCCTGGGCATTCTTTGTGCAGACTTGCCGGGAGGGGCGCGGGGAGCAGCAGCCGATGCTTCAGTCAGCCTCCCGGAGCCTCTGAGAAGTGCTCAGAGGCGTGGAAGGCAATGTCTGCCGAAGAGGAGGGAAAATTCAAAGCCGTGGCACAGGCAGACCTGGCCGGTCACACAGGAGAAACAGAAACGTGGACCCCTGCTAAAGGGGGACAGAAGTTCAAGGATCCTGGTGCATCCAAGAGGCCTCCTGGTGCATCCAAGAGGTCTCCTTCAGCCTTTTTCTTTTGTTCTGAGTGTCATCCAAAAACCAAAGGAGAACATCCTGGCCTAAGCCATTGGTGATGTTGCAAAGAAACTGGGAGAAATGTGGAATAACACTCCTGCAGATGGAAGGGCTGATGCTGAAGCTGAAGCTCCAATACCTTGGCCACCTGATGCGAAGAACCGACTCATTGGAAAAGACCCTGATGCTGGGAAAGATTGATGGTGGGAGGAGAAGGCGACGACAGAGGATGAGATGGTTGGATGGCGTCACCGACCCGATGGATGAGTTTGAGTAAACTCCGGGAGTGGGTGATGGACAGGGAGGCCTGGCGTGCTGTGCTTCATGGGGTCGCAACTGAACTGAGCGACTGAACTGATGCTGATACTGACAGATGACAAGCAGCCTTAGGAGAAGAAGGCTGCAAAGCTGAAGGAAAAATAGGAAAAGATATTGCTGCGAACCCGGCTAAAGGGAAACCTAATACAGGAAAAAAAAAAAAAAAAAAAGGAGGCGGGTGGGGGAGAGTCCTCAGGGCTGAAACAGGCAAGGGGGAGGAGGAAGACGAAGAGGAAGAAGCTGGTGAGTAAGTCGGTTCTCGCTCAATTTTTTTTTTTTCTTCGTTGTCTATAAAGCATTTAACCCCCATAATCAATTCACTCCTTTTAAAGAAAAAAACTGAATGTGAGGCTGTGTTAAGACTTGTTTTCACACTGCACAGTGTCTTTTTGGGTATCGTTGACACCCCAGCACATGTGTCCTGAGATGGCCCCGTCCTGGTGGTACTTTCCAGGACCAGTGACCTCGCCGGGCGCAGTGTTCCCGGAACTGTAGGGCAGGTTCCGGCGCTGTGCCGTGAGGATCAGCTACATGCGGGGATGCCGGTTTCTTCATCTTCCGTTCTCTCTGATGAAGCTTATACGAATAATTTTCCTTCTGTTAATTGAATACCATTCTGTAATTGCGAAAAAGAAAAAAGTTGCAGCTGTTTTGCTGACATTCTGAATGCTTCTAAGTAAATACTATTTTTATTAAAAAATAATAATGTGGACATTTTCCTAAATATATAATCACTTTTAATTGATAATATTTCATAATATGATGGCCCATGGTTTATTTACCATTATTGTATTGCTCGTCATTTAGTTTGTTTCAGTTTTAAAATATTACAAGTGATACAAATCATAATAATGATATCAAATATTTGTACATTTTAAAGGAACTGAATTCCTCTTGCCAAAATGCCCTGAGAAATGTTACCTAAATTTACATTTACACCAGACACAGCAAAAACGGCCTGGTTCACTGAGCTCGAGCCAAATCCGGAAATTGTCATTTTTATAAAATCCTCAACATTCAAATAGGAAAAAAGGGTAACATTGCTTTTTAAATCTGAATGTCTATGTTTCTAATATTGCTGAACATTTCTTCATATGATTGCTGGCATTCTAATTTCCTTCCCCCCCCACCCCCTGCCCCCGCCCCCGCCCCGCCAAGTTTTGATTGGGTTTTTCTTCTTTTTCTTATTAAAGTGTAAGAGCCTTAATGCTATAGCTGTTGGTTAGTCACTAAGTCATGTCCAGCTTTTTGTGACCCCGAAGACTGTAGCCTGCCAGGCTCCTCAGTTCTTGGGATTTCCCAGGCAAGAACACTGGAATGGGTTGCCATTTCCTTCTCCAGGGGATCTTCCCGACCCAGGGATCAAACCTGGGCCTCCTGCTTAGCAGGTGGATTCTTTACCCCATAGCCACCTGGGAAGCCCTAAGAGCTTTAATGAGTCAAGGCTAGGACCAGTAATTTTCAAATGCTTTTTTTCTCTCTTGCTGTTGTTTTGTTTGGCAAATTATGCACATCTGTATGAAGGAATATGTGTGATGGGGCTGTAAGTAGAAGAACAAGGGTCAGAGGGTTCGACAGTTCATGCTGCCTTAAGTGTGGACATAGCTGAAGACGGCAGCCATAAGTCCAGAAGGAAAAGAAGGTCAGGAGAAAGTGGTTGTCATGGATAAGATGTATTTTCAGGAGTTTTCCATATTATTTGTATTACATTAGTGGAGGATTAGCAGGATAAAGGCTCTCTCAAAATCTACTGAAAGTCAATTCTTTGGATGATGATAGAAATCTTTCTTTTGCAGAATGAATAAGTCTTTTGGCTAGACGTAGATAAAAACTTTTGCTCAATATGGCGTAATAACTCCAGTAGGCCCACAGCAGCCAAACTGTCTGTCTCAAAGTATCTTATTACAATAAAATCAAATTTAACCTCCTAAACCCAAGACACAAATCACTCACTTTTCTTTCAAACAATTTGTTAGTGTATTATCATAAATGCTACCTGTCACAAGACTGATAGTTGTCAGTAGCTCAAAAATATGAATAAAATTGAAAATGAATCTGAATGTGGGAACTATAATAGCATTTCATAGAGAGGTGACGATAATAAGAGGTTGTGGCAGACACGAAAAATTCTCAGGAATAGGGAAATCAAGAAAACTGTCTTCAAATTAAATAAGCTCCCAGATCAGTCTCACCAGACTTATATTCCCACCAAACGTAATAGTTAATAAAATACTTATTGGCCCTTGGTAGTCTATAGCAATGGCAAATTGGGTTTACCTTGTGAATTTTTACATTGCAAAGTTTGTATCAAGTTGCAGAGTGTAATTTCAAAATGACACAATCTGAGTTTATATTTCTTTCCAAATGATACTTGAGACTTTTGTTAATATTTCTCCAACAATACAAAAACTAGTCTCACCTGAATTTTAAGGTGCAATTTTAATCACTAGCTAGGATCAATAAACACAATGTCTTTTAAAAGATCCAAGTCAATGTGTTTCAGACAAAAGAAGTTTCATTCTATCTCTTCCACATTTTCTGATTTAAAAAACAGTGTTGCATGCAATTGTTCAGAAGGATCTCAAGGGTGTTAGACTGAGTGAAAAAACTCAATCTCAGAAGTTATATACTTTATGATTCTATTTATGCAGCATCCTTGAAATGACTAACCGTAGGCTTGGAGAAGAGATTAGGAGTTGTCAAGGGATGGGTGGAGGTGGGTGTGGCTAATAAAGGATAGCATAAGGGAGTTTCTTTGTGCTAGAACAGCTCCATATCTTGATTGTGGTAGAAGTTACAGAAATCCATACACGGGACAAAACTGCAACAACAATACACACTCACAGACCAATAAGTACATGTAAAACCTGGTGAAACTGAACAAAACCTGAAGTTGCTGAACTAACTTACTCATGCCAATGTCTTGGTTTTGCTATTGTGCCACGGCTATGTCAGATGTCACCTTTGGAGGAAACTGGGTGAAGGGTTCACGGAACTCTGTGCATGGAGTTTGCAACTGTCAGTGAATTGTTTAAAAATAAAAAGTGTTTTCAAAACCATGTTTTCCGCTTACCCACATGTTTAACCTTACATAGGCAATTGTCAGAGAGGAAGCGAATTAGAACTCTTAGCAGCCAAACTATGTGTCACAAAAATTCATCCACTAACAGTAATTAATTCTGCTGCTGCTGCTGCTAAATCGCTTCAGTCGTGTCTGACTCTGTGTGACCCCACAGACGGCAGCCCACCAGGCTCCTCCGTCCCTGGGATTCTCCAAGCAAGAACACTGGAGTAGGCTGCCATTTCCTTCTCCAGTGCGTGAAAGGGAAAAGTGAAAGTGAAGTTGCTCAGTCATGTCTGACTCTTCGCAACCCCATGGACTGCAGCCTACCAGGCTCCTCCATCCATGGGAGTTTCCAGGCGAGAGTACTGGAGTGGGATGCCTTTGCCTTCTCCGTATTTCATTCTGCTTATTGGCAAATACCTCAGGTTCTCATTCAGCGCCTAATTGCTCTTACTTCAAATGCATTTCTAAGATACTCGGTAGTTTGTCTTTCACAACCAGAGCAGATACATTCATCCAATCAGTCAGCAGTCATCTACTCATTAATTTATGTTTATTCATTCATTATTTTGCTGATTGTGCCACTCAATGTGATAAGCATGATGTCCTGATGAATGACAATTTCTGCCCCCAAGAAACTTATGACTTAGATTGGTGATTTCTACATAGAGGGGTAGAGAGAAATGAAGAAATATGTATCAGAAAGGTACAAGCTTTCAAAATACATACTACCCCATCCCCCAAAGTCTTAAATATCCCTTAGGAAGACATCCTTCCACTTCCTAGAATAGAGGGAAGATGAATAGAAAGGGGAAGAGGGGAGAAGTGAAGACAGATGGGACCAGATTAGGAAATGCCTTATATGGAGCAGCTTTGGAATGTATCCTTATGGCAAGGGGGCATGACTGAAGGGTTTAAGGCAAGGGGGTAAGATAAATAATCAAATTTATAGTATTTTTCAAGATTTCACAAGCTTCATTATGCAAGTCTGGAGGGTTGATGACTAGTTAAAGAGGTGTTGCAATAATTTTTATGTGACTTCATAATGGCTGTGGGGAGGAAGATAAGTAGGCACATTTTTGAACTCATTAGGAGGAATATTTGACAGGACTTGGTGAGCAGTTATTCCTCATATCCATAGAAATGGAAACAGCCAAAGATGATGACCTATAAAGAAAGCTGAGCACCAAAGAATTGATGCTTTTGAACTGTGGTGTTGGAGAAGACTCTTGAGAGTCCCTTGGACTGCAAGGAGGTCCAACCAGTCCATCCTAAAGGAAATCAGTCCTGGGTGTTCATTGGAAGGACTGATGCTGAAGCTGAAACGCCAATACTTTGGCCACCTCATGTGAAGAACTGACTCCTTGGAAAAGACCCTGATGCTGGGAAAGATTGAAGGTGGGAGGAGAAGGGGATGACAGAGGATGAGATGGTTGGATGGCATCACCGACTCAATGAACATGAGTTTGGGTAAACTCCAGGAGTTGGTGATGGACAGGGAGGCCTGGCGTGCTGCGGTTCATGGGGTCACAAAGAGTCGGACATGACTGAGCAAATGAACTGAACTGAACTGAAAGATGACCCATTGCAGGGTGGAGAGGTTAATGACAGGAAGAGACATAGGAGGACTCTAGGTTTTTGGTAATGTTTTGTTTCTTGACTTGAAGGCTAGTTAAATTGATATATTTGAGCTTCCCAGGTGGCACAGTGGTAAAGAATCCACATGCCAATGCAGGAGATGTAAGAGATGCAAGTTCGATCCCTGGGTCAGAAAGATCTCCTGGAGCAGGAAACGGCAACCTGCTCCAGGATTCTTGCCTGAAAAACTCCATGGCTAGGAGTCTTGCAGGTTACAGTCCATGGGGTCACAAAAAGACAGAGATGACCAAGCAACTGAGCGTACAAATACACAAAATTGATATATTTACTCTGTGAAAATTCATTCAGTTTGTGCATTTATGATCTGTGCACTTTTGTTTTTTTGTATGTTAAACTATGATCAAGATTTTTACATAAATTATGACATTGTAGCAAAAATGCACTGAAATGCTATATGATTTGCATGTTAATGAAATGTATTCAATTGAGCATCACATAGGAAGAAAAAAAGATAAATTAAAAAAATTTTCTTGTTGTAGTATTGTCCTTAAAAGCAAATATATATTTGCAAATGAAAGAAATAATTAGGCTTTTGGGCTGTCAACTGTCACATTCAACAGGCTGAAAAAATTTGGCAGCTTTGAAAGTACATATTTAGTATTAGACCTACAAAGACTGACAAGAGTTTTCTTACTGCCCTTTGATAAAGATGAACATGACTTTCTTTAACATCATCTAGAGGCAATTCTAGATTTACCTGTAAAAGTAGGTTCAGGGACTTTGTGTTTCTCACTAATGCAAGGAGCTTAGAAGATGCCGTTGGATCCCAACATCAAGTATAAAGGTGAACAAAACTGAAAAATTAACAACTCTGCCTAGATCTGTCAGAGAA